TATATATTGCATATGCGCGCGCGCGCACATCACATAATATGTATCTATAGATATATATCACATGTGTTTCATTAAAAGGTTATTCCTATAAATTTGATATAATATGGCATATTTATTATAAGTAAAATAGACTAAATAAATAATATTATATTGCAAATATTATTCAAATTTTAGTATTAGAATATCCAAATATTAATTCACCGTTAATTTTTTATGATTAATTCTCTGAACTATTCGAATTCTTGAGTTATGACATATTATATTTTATAATCTGTTTTCTATTCTCGAAATTAATAGCTCAGATTAATACATTTTCATTTTGTTCTCCGGACATTAATATTCAAATCATTCAAATAATTCGAATGTTTTTGAGTAACAATAATTATTTCGATTGATTTGAATATTTTAATATTTGAATATTTATAATCCTAATACAAACATTATATCAGATGTATAAAAAATGAATATATAGAAAAAATTTAATTATGTGTGACATACATAATAATTAATGAACATATGATAAATGATTAATATAATATGATATTACAATAAACAGAATTCTTATTAGAAAATTGATATTTGATTTGTCAAATGTGGCAATTTATTTAATAGTTCCAGTTAACAACTGGACCAACCAATTAAAACTGCTGATGCTTTTCCACACATTGTTTCCAAAATTTATTGGAATCTCTGTATTCTATTCAAAAGTAAATCTGCAAATATAAATGAAATAAATAGTAGATTAAAAAGTTGGAATATGTAGTTGTGATTAGTATTACAAAGTTAAATGTTTCATTCAAGTACATTACTTTATAACATTACTTTATAATCAAAGCTGGAATTCTTATTATTTAAATATTTACTCTCTAAATCTCAATCAGTGGATAGTCACTAATTACCCAGTGGTTTACTGATAATCAGTTCAATTAAAAAAGGAAGAATGTTTATATAACTAAAATACTGACATTTGCACATTAATTTCAATCTTCCAATACTGTATTCATTGAATTTAAGCAGATTTAAAACAAGATTAATTAGAATGTTAGATTATATAATAAAGATTAGCTAGATTAGGGATCTCATATTTAATTCACTGATTACCGTGGCATTCTTGGCACTGATATCAGTGATTATCCACTGATTCAAATTTAGAGAATAAAAAATTGAATGTTTAGTAAATATTATGAAAATAAAAAAGCTTGACTCTAAAATTACTCCAATAGATAAAACTAGACTGTTTGAACAGTCAGTTATTCAATATTTAAATATATATTTCATTGTAATTATTATAATAAATTAAGTATATTATAGTAAAAACGTCATAGTAAATTTGTATTATTTGATTTTAATATTGACTAAATTGAATTACTTAATTGAAATATTGATAACATTCATAAAACACATTTAAATATGAGAGTCAAATTTTTATAATTTTTATGATAAACAAATATTAAATATTTGATTTCTTATGTGTTCATTTTATATAAGTGTATCCTAAAGGAGTGACTAAAAGAGGATAAAATACAAGGATTTGTAATATTTACCGTTGTCATTTTTTTCTTTTTTTTTTCAAATGTATTAATATGTCTATCCATCTGATGAGATTTACTCGTTATTTTCTTCTAATTGATGATTCGTATTTATATCATTTCCAGTATTTTCTTGAAGTTTTTTATTTATGCCATGTTTGGATAAATGGATCCCTAAATCACCTAGTTCATGTTTAAGTATGTTAAACTTCCTACAACAAATCCTGCATTGTATTCTGTCAGTTGATGTATTCAATACGAAATGTTCCGATACCCACGAATGTTTAAATTTGTTTTGTATTTTCACGATTATTAGTGGATGTTTTCGTTTCATATGTAGCTTTAAGTAGTTTACTTGAAATCCATATGTAAGGGAAGAGTTACAAATTTTACATTTTGAAGCGTATTTTCCTTCTTTTGTGAAATATTGATATATTAAGTCACTTTCGTTATTTTGTTTATTTATTTCTTTGTCAAAACATATTTGATGAGCATAAAATAAATGTGCTCCCAATGCATTTAAATTGTTCCCAGCATAATTTTTATGGCAAATGTTACATTGTACCCTACGATTTTGAAATTTAGTGTAATGATGCCATATCCAACTTTTACTTTGTGTATCTCTTTGTATGTTATTTTCTCCAATACCTTTTTTATTCAAGCCATGCTTGACCAAATGGCACGCTAAATCATCTATATCATTTTGCAATACATTAAACGAGTAACAACAAATCTTGCATTGTAATTTACCATTTGATGTGTTTAATATGAAGTATGTCGATACCCAAGAATGTTCAAATTCTTTTTGTATTTCTTCTATTATTTGTGGATGTTTACGTTTCAGATGCTTCTTTAATTCCTGTACAATATATCCATTCAAAAGAGATGTATCACAAATCTTACATTTTAAAGTGTATCTTTCTTCTTCTATGAAATAATGCCATATCGGACCGTTTCTACGATCCACATCTTCATCATGAAATATTTTATGAGCACGAAATAAATGTACTTTTAATGTTAATGTGTTGTATGCAATATAAGAACAAATCTTGCATTGGAATTTGCTATTTTTTAAATTATTGTAATGTTGTCGTATCCAACTACTTGGCTTATTCTTTTGTAATGCCATCACGTCTTCACAGTATCTCAGAATGTGTATTACTAAACATGAGAATGTCTGTACTATTGAGAAATGTTCGAAGGTTTAAGAGTGACGTGTGAATTTAGTTAGAATATAATTATTGATGATTTGAATACTGATATAGCCTATAGCTGAGAACACAGACTTTTGTATAAAGCATAAGACGTGAAAATATCCAATCAGAGTCCTTTATTTCATGAAAATGAAGAAAATAAAGGAAGGTTCATTTTCTTATACATTATATGTTATGAGTTATACAAGTGTTTGTGCTCTTATCTTAAAGCCTTGTGTCTGATATAGAAATCTATCGAAGTTTCTCGAAAGAAGAAAATTCATTGATCATGTGACCAAATTTATCAAATATGACTTGTTATTTCTTTCTGTATCCTAAATTTCGGAGCGATTTCTAGTATCGTGGATACAAATAAAGTTAACAGTCAAATAGTATCGCTATACTTGTAACAATTCAATCATCGTAATTAAGAGAATTCAGATTAAAATATATTTTATACATTCAAAAATAAAGATTTTTTTTCTTTTTGTACTTAGTGTTGCATCATAAAGATAATATTTAAAATGTCCTTAAAAGAAACTTTTTTTTAAAAAAAACTTTTTTTAAAAAAGAAAAAAATATATGTTAAGTATACATATTTTTGTCGTCTTTGCCCGGCGTCATTGTAGTCCAGCGAATTTATTTAAAATAATAAGTACTAAATATCCCTTTTAGATTTTTTATTAATATATGTATATTTTAAATAACTTTATCTCTTAAATGCAGCCGAGCTCTGTAATCTTATTCTTCATATTTCTTTTTGAAACATAATCGCGACAAATGCTAAATAATACAAATCGTTGTACTTTATGAATACTCACAGTATATGATTATTTAACTTGCACGATTATTTCATTAAATGATTGCGACAATCGTATATCACGGATACCTATAATTTCATATGGTTTATACATTTGGAATCAAAACGCAATAGAAAACAATATTTATATTATTTTGCGATAATAACGAACGGCAATTATTTTTGTTTATCGTTTTTTTTCTCACTTGAGTATAATACTCGATTATACTTCGAACAGTATCACACGAGTCATAAAAAGCAATGCTAATAATACTTTCATGCAAATAATACAATTCACGCTAATCTACTTTCAGAACTAATATAGTTTGTGTAATTAATAATTTAATTAATTTTTCATTTTTACGCATCTTTCGTTATATGATTCGTATAAAAATTAAGCGTAACTTTGAAACTATTTGTCGTTAATAAAAGAAATATTCCTCTTTTTTATTAATTTCAAATCCATTCCATTGACTCTAAATGTATCCTATGTATATATATATA